CTCTTGATCGAGACATAACCACGGCATCCACTGCTTGCTGCTGCTGCATTGCTGTGTACGAACGACCCTCTGCGTACACAACACCGTGCCATACATCTCCGGTCTTGGTGCGTCTAGAAATGTATTCCAGACGAAAGCGACACCCTGATGCCTCTGTGCGTGATGCTTCCGTGGACATATTTGAGCTGCGTCATGTTTTTGTGTGCAGCTCAAGTGACCACGTGAGTGAGGTATTGAGAGGTATTCATCCACCGCCGCCCGCCTGGCCCTCTCTCTCCTCCCTCTCCGATACGAAACGAGAACCGAGAGAGTTCCGCCGTCGGCGGTGGGTTGCAGGAGGAGTCTTGCAGGAGAGAGGTCCACTGATCCACTTCAAACGACAGTTCCGCCGCGTTAGCCGTGTTAGGTCCACCTCCGCTCGCCGTCGGAAGCGTCGGAACTCGAGTGCGGGGTGTTGGTGACGTGTGTTCGTGAGCGTGATCTGCTGGTGGTCTGTTGGTCGAATAGCCCAGCCATTTTCGGGTAGGCGAGAGTAAGATCGGGTACCCCTCCGGGGGGTGAGTAGCCAAGATCGGGTGCACCCGGTGAGAATAGGGTCAGGGCCGGGTAGGGGCGGTCGTCGGCCAATCAGATGGCGCCATGAGGGCGCTGCCGACTGTGAAAAACAAGTGTACCCGATAATGGCCGGATTGGGGCCGGGTGTACCCGATTTTGGCCACTCCTCTAATTATTACGTGTGGTGGGTGGCATTGATACCCTGCATACCCCCCTCCTTCAACAACACTGTGCAGATCCCTCCCCAAGTCCTCGCGATCTTCAACGCCGCCGCGCGCGAAATCGTCATCAACGAGAAGAAGACCAACGCGGGGATGACTCCTCAACATCCCGGGGCTTCCGACAGCGGCGGCGACAGCGATTCCGCTGCCCGGCAGCTCCGCGTGGTCTTGGAGTCGGTGCACCGGGCACTGCTGGGACAGCGGTCCGTCATGTTCAGGCCTAAGAAGAGGAAGGGTCCCAGCGCTGCGGTCCGCGCCCTGTCGATGGCCAGGGGCGCCACAAGGTGTGCATGGTATGGGTGAAGGTGGTGGTGTTTGTGTGTGTTGAGGGTGTTTTTTTTTTGCTTGTTGGTACGTCAAGGTGGGCGGCAACAACATTGTGTGACCTTCCTCTAGTGACCCCGGCTGATACGTCAGGTAATTGCGCCGAACGGCCTGTGTAAAACCGACGCCAGAAAAGATGGGACGACCACACCCAGACATGCTCGTGGATGTTTCGCTTTTTTGTGTTTGCCTCTCGCTCCTCCGGGAATTACACGCGTTTTTGTTTTTTGACATGCTTCGTCTTTTGGGTCTGTGTGCCTTGCTTATGCACATTTGCATCGACCTCGCTCACCGGCTGCCCAAAGAAAAGTCGTTCGTGTCAGTGCGGTTGAAAACACAAAATGCCTCTTAAAGCCTTGTATGTGTCTTGTGTTTTTTTTTTTTGTGGTTTGATGTTCGTTTGGCGGCGTTGGCCACATGTGTGGATGCTTTTGGGCTTGTCTCGTGTTCACCAGTCCTCGTTCTTCATTAATCTTGTGGCGTCGGGAGAGTTGGTCTCCAGGCACGCGTTCGAATTTGCCGTATCGTACAGCCTCACCACGTTCCGATGCCATGCTTGGGCATTCTTATCGCATGGGCTTGTATATGTCGCGCCAATAATTATTTTTGTGATGTTTCTTACCTTTTCTTTCGCCTTGCTCTTCGTCTGTATATGGGGAGTCATGGCGATCATTCGCCCTTAGTGATTGCACGCCAACATGTGTTGTATTTTTATGCGGAAGTCACTCAAGTGCCGTAGGCTGGACCATAAATCTAAGGTGCACGACACAGCAATCGTCCGTTCTATTCTTGCCTGTTTCCGGAAGATAAGAGGCGTTTGTCCTGCTCTGCCCGCGCTTATTTTCTTGCTACCGTTAATGTTTTGCTCATGCAGAACAAAACACACCATATATGTCTCTATTACATATCAAAGTCCAGGATAGTTCATTGCATCACGCCATAGCCGAATATTATTTTTTCTGACGCTTGGCACTCTTGGAACGAACATAACGATTGTCAGTAGCTGAATTCAACAGCACGAGTACGACGATGTGTCGTCTCTTTTGTTATATTTATTCGTCTTCATCGCTTTTTCCCTCTCTCTGCAACGGAACGACCTGGTTCTCTGTTGCGTTTTTCATTCGTCTTGCACGTTTTTTTCACTCTCTACTATGAAGCCCATCAGGTCTATCGGTTGTATTATTCTTTCGTCATGAACGTTTTTCGTTCTCTATTGTGAAAACTCTCATCCGGTCGTCGATTGAATCATTCGTCTTGAACTGTTCGTCCACTATGAAACCCTCATCCGGTCGTCGATTGAATCATTCGTCTTGAACTGTTCGTCCACTATGAAACCCTCATCAGTTCGTCGATTGCATCATTCGTTGTGAACATCGTTTCACTGGCCACTTGGAAGCCCATCATGTCGTCGATTGTATCCTTCGTCTGGGACGTTTTTCTCATTCTCCACTACTAGAAGACATACTATGTTTTTAACTCTCTACGAAACCCCCCGTCAGGTCGTGGGCGACCTCCGGAGAGGTGGACTCGAACGAGTTATACCGCGTGGTGGCCGGCATCCTCCCGGGGGACTTCGAGGTCCGCGTCCACGCCTCGGACGTGATCGTCCAGGTGTCTTCCCGTGCGGAGGACCTTTTGGAAGCCGGCAAGGTGGCGCTGGAGGCCCTCGGAGAGACGAAGGCGGCGGCGGACATGAAGGGCGGTGCTGCGGCTGCCGACAGCATCGATCTGGAGGTGAATGCTTGTGCAATCGCTGGCGGTGTTGGTGAGGGAATGGGGGTGTTTATGGGGTGTCGCTGATCATTTCGCTTGTGATGGGTTGGTGCAATCAGTCGCTGGTGCCGCCGGCGGCGGTGTGGGTGCGGGAGGGGGTTGTCGCTGATTCTGTGATCGGTTAGTGCGATAAGCTGCGGTGGTAGTTTTGGGTATATCGCTGTTTGCTGGGCGCTTAGAATATTTGTTAGTGTGGTTTGTCGCTGATTCATGGGCACTTGTGATAAGTCAGCTGATCGTTGGCTCCTCTGTTTGGTGACGTGAATATGGTTGCCTTGATTGCATTCGGAAGAGAGCGACACGGTCAGGCAACTTGAGAGTTTGGCCGGTGTTTAAAGAAGAGTATGCCGTTTCAGGACGAGAAATTGTGACTCCCACGTTGTACGTAAAGTATGCCGACCACGGAGAATGAGTCAATCCGTTTGAACCTTGTACCTGCAGCTCTTGAGCTCTCACTGCCCTCGCTGTCTCTGGGTGTTCTCTTGTTGTCGCATCCTCGCGCCACCGCTGGTACGACAAGACGTATACGGAGAACGCAGAGTTCCGGTATAATGCCGCGTATACGTAGGTTCAAGGGATTTGGCCGCCGTAAAAACGTACACCCGGCACTATTCCGAGCGGAGCCATCTTGAGTCATCCATCTGTGCCGTCAAGCAATTTACGCCGGCTTGACACGGGGCAACCGGTCTTGTTAGGCCGGAACATGACTCCAACCACATGTTTCGCGAGATGGCATCGTCGAAATTAATTTTTGCTGTTTTTGTTGATGTTGCCGTTCAGGTTGACCTGATCCCCGTAAAGGTGGACGCATGTCGGCGCTCGCGGCCCAGCCCTGAGTTTTGGGTCGATACCGGCATCCTGCGGTGAGGACAACATCCAATCACACAACTCTAGTTTGATGTAAATGTCGTTCGCTCGTGTCCGCGGTGTGTGTTGCTTTGTGGTGTGCCCGCTATGGCGCAACATGTGTTTTGACCGATTTACCCGCTCTGTACGGGCAGCTGCCTAACCCTGCCTCATTCATTGTATCCGTGCATTATTTCTCGATTTTTTTTGGCGCCAGCTGTTTTGTTTTGTGCAAGGCGAACGTTCTCAAAGTCCCCCGCCGTCCCGTTTACCCTGGTCAGGCAGCGGTAGACGCGTATGTAGTAGGGGGCTGTTTTCGGCATGATCAAGAACGATCCGGAAAGATGTAAACGTGTCCTTCGTTTTCCCCATGTTGCGGCCAGCTGATTGCCCTCTAAGTTTGATGATGAATGTTTGCGTCGTGCCAGGTCCTGCCGTTTTTCGTTTTTTTTCCCGACGAAGCTCCAACATGCCTACCCCCCACTGAGAAACAAGTGGGGGTGGATAGTGAAAAGTGTTACCCGCATCCCCATGATGCCAAACCCAATCAACTAACAGCACACAACAAGCAGCTCAATGCCTCCCTGCTGCTTGTTCGCATGAACAAACTCAACCCTTTATGTTATTTATCAACATATCTGTGCTTGTGGTGGTGCGATTGCTTTGTTCAGGACGAAGCTCCGTGCCCCCGAAAAGGCGGTGGAGGCGGTGGTGACGGCCTTGCTGACATCGGCCCAGAGGACCACCGCGGCGGTAGCGCTCCTGTCGGGAGGGGCACCCAGCGCCGATGAGGAAGAGGATATTGCGGCCTAATATTCGATTTTGTCTGATTTCTTCGTCGATTCCATTTTTTTTTTGTTTCGTTGTTATCCTGGCTGTGTAATGTATTCGTTTGTCATTTTGATGTGGACCCGCTCAGAGGTTTGTTATTATTTTTGTTGTTCCGAGCGGTCGGTCGACCAGAGGTGGCGGTGTGAACGAGCTGCGGCTGATCGGTCTGTAGCGGGTAGGGTTGATTGACGCCGGCTACTTCCGGAAGAGAAGGGGCGGAAGGTCGCCACGATAACCAATAGTCGATGGACAAAGCTTCATTACGCCTCTGTGTTCAACAACACCACTTGGTCCGGTTTTGCTGTTTGCTGCGCGGTTTTGAATTTGTGATGTGCGATGATCGAGTCTGTAGGTGTAGTATTTTCCCGTTTTTCATCTAGGACACGAGTTCGCCTTCGATTCCAACTTCGACAATCGATCGGCTTCTCCAGTGCATACGCGACATGGGAGACGCTGATGTTTCTGGTTCGATATGAAGTGATTGCACACCGTCATCATCGCCGCTGGTGAGGCCAAGTTTGATTGGTTCCGCCTGCTACTGAGATCCGCGTATCGGCGTGGATGAAGTTTGGGCGTATGTGCTCGCCTGTCTTTGACTTGACGATGGTTTTGCTCTGTAGTCGACTGTTTGCGTGTGGGTTTGGGGATTACTGATATCGTTGCCAAATATTGCCGGCGAGACGCTTTCGGATTGGTCCAAGCAGGAACACGGCCGCCGATGCCACTACAACAGCAGCAGTACTGACGTTGGGTGGTTGGCCGAAAGCTGCATTAGACTGAGCATCAGATGTGGTGAACTGTGCGGGTCCAGCAACATCTTCCACCAATGTGCTTTGTGTCCTGGGCTGGCATGCTGGGGAGGGATGTATGAGCGGCGTGTGGACTGTACGTTTGCGCGGAGGTCTGATTCACCATCCAGTTGCGCCACAATACCGCATACGTTTGGGGGAAGGGTGAGCGCTGAGCAACCTCGTTTTTTTTGTTGTCGGCGCTAAGCCAAACTCCTCACCGCGTCGTAGTTCTCCCTGTGGCCTTTCATTGTGCGAAGTATACAGTATATTACAAAACTTCTTCCTAGTGGCCTTCCGACGTTGTCCAGCGTCTTTTTGGCGTCATTGGTTTGATCGGTATTTGTGTGGTAATATTAATATTAAGGACGTGCGGGAGGATGAGCAACCCAGTGGTGTTGTCCTTACCGAGCGAAAGACAAGATTGCCACTAGCCTTCGCATTGGCGTGGCGTTGCAGTTTCGCTCTCTTTTGAATCTCACGGGGGTGGTTTATGTGTTGTGCGTTTGGAGCAGAACTTGTTCTTGAAGGGGGACATTTGGTCCCCTAAGTTTTCAGCTGTGTCTTCCTGGCCTCCATGGGGATGGATGCCTCTGGCAAGGAGAAAGACGTCTTCTTGTTATACCTAACTTTTAGGCCGCACTGCATGACCACAAGTCTAACGGTTTTCCCGGTTAGCCGAATACGGAGTAGTAGCATGTTGGGATCTGATTCACATGAACGGGATCTTGGCTATTTGTCTTGTAGGGGTGGAAAACCACCGTAAACCATTCGTGGCACTATGAGCATATGCGCCCTCTTTTTTCACATTTCGTTCATTACTTTCACTTTATGTCAACGCTCACATCACACAATTCTGCCGTGCAGGAGCTCCAACCCGTAGTCACACAGAGGGGCTCCTCTCCCTCCGCCCCTCCTGTGGTGCTTGCCTTCGAGTTGTTTGAACGAGAACCCTGCGCGCGACAAAAGCTAAGGCAGGCACAGCATGAGGCGGGGACCGTGGGACATGAAAAAAGAGTGACTCATGTGTTGGTGACGTTCAGCGGGCTGTGGTCGTCGCACCACCTGTGGTTTCGGGTCGTCACGATTCAAGCAAATAGTTGGGCCACAAACTGGGCCGTCATATACCTGTAGTCTTTCGTCAAAAGAAGCGGGGAAAGCACTTCTATCGCCACGTCCGATTGATGTAGCATCCTCTGCTCATGAGCTGCACCAACCCCCGTCGTTCCCCCTGCTTGGCTGGATTTCAATCTCGACCTCATTTTCGGTCTCTCACCTAGACCTTCCCCAGAAATTGCATGCGGCACTGCAGCTCGAGCCGCTGCTCCTCTTCGGCCAATTTCTAAAGGAAACAGCCACTTTAGGGCGTTGACACTGTAGCCACCCGATGGCAACGCAAAGCACGCTTCAGATCGAGCCCTCCGGGCACACTTGGTGGCTTCAAAACCCGCGCACCACCAAGCCTATGGCGAGCGTGCAACCGGAAGGTTCCGAACTGGCCTGAAATATAAGCGGGTGTGTGTGGAGGCGCGGGGGGAGGGTCCTCGTCGTCGCTGTTTATTTTCGTTCTTCCGGACGTCGTTACAATGAGCCATTGACCTCGCACTCGCCAACGGCTTTTTGTTAAAAGTTTCATTTGTAGACTAATTCGAGCGAAACGGCACAGACAGGTGGAGGGCGAACCCGCTTGGGAACGCTTCTGCAAGGGGGGGAGGGGTCATCGGCAAGGTCAAGCCCCTGAAGAGTCTGGGTGTCCAACCTCTGTCCTGTTACCAACCTCGGCAACCCCTCCGACAGAAAAAAGGTTTGAAAAACTCGTTTCCTGGGATGTGATTGTCAGACTTAGTCGTCAGGGGGGCATTGCCAGGCTCGTTCGCGAACGTGGGGTTGCCAAGGCTCGTTCACGAATGAGGGGTCGGCAAGCTCGTTCACGATAGTGGGATTGACAGGCCCGTTCGCGTACGTAGGGTTGGCAAGGTCATTCGTGAGGGTGTGGTTGGCAGGCTCGTTCGCGAACGTGGGGCTGGCAAGATCGTTTGCGAGCGTTGTGATGGACAGGCCTGTTCGCGAACGTGGGGTTGCTAAGGTGCTACATAATACTGTATACTGGCGGGGCCGGCGAACGTACGAGATGGGCAGGCTCGTTCGCTCTGCCGACATCGCGAAGGCGGCACGCCCGCCACAGACTTGAAGTAGAGATGGTGTGGCTTAATATATTCTTTAGTTCCTCGGGTATTTCCTTGTTAAGCGAAAGCCACGAAAACAACAGACACCCACCATCGATGTGCGTAGACAACTACAGTACAAACAAGAAGAGGCGCTCTTTTCATTTCACCTAAGAATCACACAACCGAGAGAGTCACTAAACCCGCCTCTTTATGGCAATGATGAAAACAACAAGCAGACCACAACAGCGTCACAAGGCAGAAGGCACGAAAGACCACGTCTCTTTTTTTCTACGCGCAGACTACGGTGACCACTCGATTACCCTCGCAACGTCCTCGTTGGCAGTTGAATTTCAGCGACTAGTTTTTCTGTTGCCCTCCCCCCCGTTTGCTGTCGCGTTCAGCCTGTCTCTACGGATATCCCTGTCTCTGCGAGTTTGTTTAGGTCCTCGTCTGTGTTTGGTTTATTTCGTTTTATTTTGTTTTGTTTTTTTACTGGCGCGTACTGCTGACCCTTGGGGTCCTTCTGGAAGGCTACCCCCCAGGCTGGTGGTGCGCACGTTCCACTATTTGGGATGGAGCACAGGTCAACATGCACGAGCCGTTAAAATACACACTATCGAGAGCACTCAACGGCCTTCGCGTCAAACACGACGTTGAAAGCGGGGCACCGTTCACGGGGGAAATAAACCTGAGCATGGACATCGTCATCAGGCCAGGAGCCCTCACGAACGCATCTTCTCCGGGGTACCNGGGATGGAGCACAGGTCAACATGCACGAGCCGTTAAAATACACACTATCGAGAGCACTCAACGGCCTTCGCGTCAAACACGACGTTGAAAGCGGG